CCTTAGAGTAGTGTGTGAAAAAAAAAAAATGTAAAAAAAAAAATGTAAAAAAAATAATAAAAATTTGTTTTTTTGGTTTATAAATCAATGGGCCTATTCCATGGGCCTGGGCCTGGAGCTGCAGCTGCAGCTCCATCAGCCCCTATGTTAATCCGGCCCTGGTTGTAAGTAGGCAATCTAGTATATTATTCGTGGCATTAATCTCTAATTTACCTCACATTAAAGAAACACTATAGTCCCCAGAACCACTGCAGCTTAATGTAGTGGTTCTGGTGTCTATAGCCTGTCCCTGCAGGCCTTTTAATGTAAACACGGCGGCACTGCAGCACTGGCGTTAGATAACATGGCAAATCATATAGGTGGGGCATTGTGATGTCACATGGGGGGCCGTCAAACTTTACTTTTGCCTAGGGCGGCACAGTGCCCCATGGTAGTTAGGGTGCCGTGCGGCCAGTACAGCTCACACAAGCAAACAGCTGATAAACTGGCCGCATGGAGGAAAAGTGGGGCGGAGCTAAGAAAAATCGGAGGCGGGGCCAAACTGGTGCTGGGGGCGGGCTTTGGGGGGGCAAGGGGGTGCCAAGCACAGGATCCCCCTGGGTGCCAAATGCTCTAGGTATGCCCCTGCCTTTATTAATTAATAATTAGCAAGTGTAAGCACCTCTATAAAAGCCAATGTTTTAGCAGTTTGCTGGTTTACTGATTTGAAGCATTCAGGTGTGTTAACACAATGCCAAGGAGGAAAGACATCAGCAATGATCTTAGAGGAGCAATTGTTTCTGCCCATCAAACTGGGAAGGGTTATAATGCCATTTTCAAACAATTTAAAGTCCATCATTCTACAGTGAGAAAGATCATTAAAAAAACAGTTGCCAATCTTCCCAGGAATAGACAATGTCCAATGCTCAGAGATATCACAAAAAAACAACCCAAGAGTTATATTCCAGACTCTATAGGACTCAGTTAGCATGTTCAATGTTAAAGTTCATGACAGTACAATTAGAAAAAGAATGAACAAGTATGGTTTGTTTGTAGGGTTTGCCAGGGGAAATCCACTAAAAGGAACATGGCAGCACAGCTAAAGTTTGCATGGGGCCACTGGGAGGAATCCATCTATACAGCAGAATCAAACTAAGTAGTTTTTTGGTGATTTTACAGCATTTTCTCTTATGTCACTCCTACATATTTAATTATGCAAATTAGCAAGGCCGGTATGTTTTTCCAAGAGAGGTGGCAACCCTAACTACTTTTCAAATACTTTTACTTAAGTATGGAAACCTAAGAGGGATGTATGGGAACAAAACTTGTGTGGACTGGCTGACAATGAATATAGTTAAAGGGACACTAGAGTCACCAGAACAACTACAGCTTATTGAATTTGTTCTGGTGAGTAGAATCATTACCGTCAGGCTTTTTGCTGTAAACACTGTCTTTTCAGAGAAAATGCAGTCTTTACATTACAGCCTAGTGATAACTTCACTGGCCACTCCTTAGATGGCTGTTAGAGATCCTTCCTGGGTCATGGCTGCCTAAAATGCATCCAAACATTCAGTGTTTCCTCCCTCTGCATGCAGACACTGAACTTTCCTCATGGAGATTCATTGATTCAATTCATCTCTATGAGGAGATGCTGATTGGCCAGGGCTGTGTTTGAATCATGCTGGCTCTGCCCCTGATCTGCCTCTTTGTCAGTCTCAGCCAAACCTATGGGGAAGCACTGTGATTGGATTAGTCCACCACTTCTAATGATGTCATCAGACTGCCTGTTTTTCTGAGTCTAACAGCATGCAGAGTTACAGCTTCAGGCTTGAATACAGTAAGATTTTGCTATATTTATCGAGGCATGAGGGGCCCAGGGGGGCTTGATGGTGGTGTTAACACTATAGGGTCATGAATTCATGTTTGTGTTCCTGACCCTATAGTGATCCTTTAAGGTAATGCTGACTTTGGTCTCTCTAACACTGTGGCATGTTCCCTTTCTTCTACACTCACTACATACAGCTTTTCTCTGTCCCAGACTATATACCAGGAGCTTCTGCCTGCTAGTAAGAAGGTAAGGAGACAAGTGGACCAGCGAGTGCTAGGGGACAGTCCTTAGAAAGCGTTGAGTGAGCGCATCATTAGATGCATTTATGCCAAGCTCAGGGTGCTGTCTGCATAGTATGCCCTTAGTTGGCCAGCTGCATGATTGGCAGGCAGCCTGACATGCATTCATACCAGGCTGGCCTTCTAATTCTTTGGGCAGACATATCCTCTTTTTGGGCATGTTTGCCCCTTTTGGCAGGTTACGTGATTTGTGTCAGTGGCACACCCTTTTACCGTGCCCATTGACTTCCTGCTTGACTGGACACTGCTGTTAGGGGTTATGGATTTACTTGAAAGATGAAAACATAAATTAGTGAGAGATTAGCCTAGGGTATGTGTTTTCTTATAGCTGCTGTTTTATTTCTCTCCAGCACCATCTCCATCAGATACATGACGCTTGGGAGTGTTTTACTGTTTTTGGTCGATAGGATTCTGTAATTAGGCCCGTCATAATTGTCAGCACCAGGCCCACTGGGCTCTTAATCTGGCCCTGCTTACAACCAGATGAGGATGATGATGGGCTCTAGCTGCAATCTGGCTCCACTGGTCTGGTGTAGAACAGGCTCTCTGGAGGTGGTTTGTAACTGTGGTCACAAAAATCAATGTTCTGGGAGAACAGGAAGCAGCTCCATTTTTGGGAGGCCCTTTGCACAGCTCAAGGTCTGGGTCCCAGGGTCCACCTTCATGTTCCACCAATGAGTTTGTTCACAGGGGGTGGAGTGTGTAGGGGATGTCCTGAAATGTGTGTAAGGAATGCATTGTGTGAATCTGTGTTTGTATGTGTAAGGGCTGCAAGGTGTGTTTCTGTGTATGTACGGGATGCATTGAGTGTGTTTAAGGGGTGCATTGAGTGTGTGTAATGAATGCATTGTGTGTTTCTGTGTGTGTAAGGGATGCATTGTGTGAAATGGTTGCATTGCTTGTGTATGTGTGTCTGTATGTGTAATGCAGTGTGTGTAATTCATTGTGTGTTTTTCTGTGTGCAAGGGGTGCATTGTGTGTGATGAATGTCAATCTCTCCCCCTCCCTTCAATTTCCTTCTCTTCTCCCCCTCCAATTTCCTTCTCCCCCTCCCAATTTCTTTCTTTATCCCCATCCAAATTTCTTTCATCCCCCTCTCCAATTTCCTTCTCCCCCTCCCAATTTCTTTATCCCCCCTTTCAATCTTTCTTTATCCCCCCTCTCCAATTTCATTCTCCCCCTCCCAATTTCTTTCTTTATCCCCCCTCCCAATCTTTCTTTATCTCCCCCCTCTCCAATTTCTTCTTCCCCTCCCAATCTTTATTTATCCCCATCTTTCTTTATCCCCCTCCCAATCTTTATTTATCCCCCCCCTCCCAATCTTTATTTCTCCCCTCTCCCAATTTCCTTATCCCCTCTCCCAATCTTTCTTTATCCCCCCCTCCCAATCTTTATTTATCCCCACCCAATTTCTTATCACCCTCCCAATCTTTCTTTATCCCCTCCCAATCTTTCTTTCCCCCTCCCAATCCCCCCCTTCCCAATCCTCCCCCCATCACCCCCTACCTCTGTTGTAGCGTGGCCAAGCTCTGTATGGTCTGCGGGTACAGGGAGCTTTTGTTTCCTGTACCCGGCCGGACTAAAAGGAAGTGAACACTCAGTGTGTACTTCCTGTTAGTCCGGCCGGGTACAGGAGACAGATGCTCCCTGTACCTGCGGACCATGATACAGGGCTCGGCCACGCTACAGTGAGGGAGTGACAGGAGGGAGTGCTGAGCGCTTCCCTCCTCTCAGCCCCTCTCCTCAGGCTGTGTCAGGGTGGGCAAAGCTGCAGCCGCCTGAGGCTCTCTACAGAGCGCTCGGGCGGCTGCAGCATGAGGGGGGCTGGCGCTCCTGGCGGCGCCCCCTCCCAAGGCACCCCCCACCCTGGTGGCTCCCGGGGCGAACCACCCCCTCCACCCCCCCCTTAGTACGCCACTGAATAAAGGATATTTGATTATCAGCACACTACAACTTAGCCTCTTAATTCCTATGGAAGCAGTAAGGGTGTACTTAGTTTTTCACACATGGTTTCTCCATTTTGGCTTAATTTTGTTAATTAAATCATGACACAATGTAATATGTCATGTGTTATTGTTCATTTGAGGTTGTTAACTAATTTAACTTAAGATGGTAAAAGTGGGTAAGGGCTGCGCTGAAAGCTAAAATACAGTAGTCTATGACAGTAAAAACCAGACCAAATGGTCTAAATGAATAGACAACAACAAGTAGGCCTATATAACTGAAAAAAGTTCCACTTAAAACAACAGAAAAAAAGATAAAAGGAAGTCCATCCAAGTAGTAAAATGTTCAACAAGGTAAAAATAAATGAAACGTCTCACTGATATAGCTGGATAGAGTATGTGTACAGTCCTCAGGAGTTGATCCGTCCGGGTTGTAAATAATCCATATATGTGAAGACAAGAATAAAAACACGGCAAACTGCCAATAGTGAAGTATTGTAAATCCAAGGATAAAATGAATAAAAGGAAGATAGTACACTCACATTAGGCCAGCTCTATGATGGAGGGCGTTTAGTGGTATGATCCCCGCTTAGGGATATACTGAAGAGGTGTGTTTGTCAGTCCAGCCTTTTTTACGTCGTACTCCACAATATATAAAAAACAGCAATAGTGCTCTCAGTTTGAAAAAGATAAATAAAATAAATTGAAATAAAATATACTCACAAGTGTAGAGCAGAGGATAGGTATGTTTAGTGGGACAAGACTGCCCTCTATAGACCAAATACCTAAATTGCGATCCCTAGGTAAGCACACCTCTAGTGCTTCTATTGGGTTATCAACTAATGACGTACAGAGAGTCTGGCCCTTTAAAAGTTAGGACAAAGGGAAGACAAAGGGGGATGCAAAGGTTGAGGAAAAAGAGGAGAGAGGAATTGGAAGTTTTGGGACTCCAACTCGGACATGCAGAGAAACCCAGGACAACATCTGAGACTAACACTCTACTCTTAAAACTCTAACACTTAGAATTTTACTGACTTTCTAACCAACACCACCTTTCACCATAACTCATGCACCTACAGACATCCAAACAAGTTCCTGAGACTACCAATCGGATGAAATATCTACTCAACTGGTAATTATACTGGTTTCATTTAATTAATTAAATTAATTAAAATTTACTATTAGCATGAGATACGACTGGATAAATCATGGTCAGATTTCCATATTAAGAAATCTTAGTTAACTAAAGAATATAGTTATAAACATTCCATTCTGCAGGTGGAATTAAGAATAATTATATATTAATGTGATATTATCACGTGTTAGCATACCGCTGTTTTTATCCAGGTGTATTGATTTGTTCTAAATTGAGATAAGATATCTTTTAGACAATTTAAAATCTGTTTATAAAATCATAGTAGATTCTCTTATTGGATGGTTCCAGGAAATGACTAATGAACTGGTTTAAATGTTATTTTATTTAAAAATAACATAAGAATAGATCTTAATTACCTAGGAGGTCTAGCCAGGATTGAAAGGGTTATTCTAACTGTTAGCCAGGGTTTTATGGCCCTTCCCTGTGAAAAGTTTTCCTTTCAGTCTGTAAGGATACCTCATAAATCGTGTAAGACTTGACAGAAAATGCTGTTTAGCTATTGAAACGTGTATAGCCATTCCTTTGTATTGCATACCATTTTATACTGGATATTCATTGATTATTGTCACGCATGTTACATATTATTATTATTAATTAATTTGTTATTATAAAATAAATCTATTTTTATAACAACATTGTGATATTATTTATATGAAATACATTCCACTTAACACGATAATGATCTTTGGGTCTGAGAATTGAATTAGTGGGCAATTCTCACTGTTTTCTATTATGATCCCATGAATATCCCCACACTGCTCTATTAACACAGCACTTGTGGAATGATCCCCACCTAGGATTTCTTGAATCAGGATACAATAAAAATGCCAGGAAAAGTAACAATAAAAAGTGCATATAAAATACAATAAAATGAAGATTGGTCTTATAAAAAAGGTAACCAAAAAAACCTTTTATTGTTAAAATACACAATTTAAACCCATTAACGCTTTTCACCTATAAGGCTTTATCAAAATGGCAGTATAGCATTGTACCTGGCATGAAACAGTATTTATAAGTATATGTAATAGTTAAAATTGGTGCCAAAAAACAGATCAACCAATTAAAAACGCGTATTTAAAAACATATTTAAAACATAACAGAAACAAGTAATATGTATACAGTTCCATAAAATAGACTGATAGGGACTATGTAATGTATTCTTATATTAAAAACGAGGCTTATATATAAAGATATATATAAAATTGTAATGTCACATGACCGACAATAATTGGAGCAAGGCTCCATGGGAAATGTAGTTATATTAGGGAGGGCGGCGAGCGGCGAGCAGCTCGCTCTTGGCAGTTGTAACAGGCCACTCCGAACATAACGTCACGTGACTAGCATGATTTGGAGCAGAGCTCCAAGGGAAATGTAGTCATGCCGGTCATCATGCGCATTGGAAAAGGGACGGCGAGTGGGGGAGCACTGTGTGTATGGGGGAGCACTGTGTGTGTGTGGGAGAAGTGTGTGGGGTGCAGTGTTTGTATGGGGAGCACTGTGTGTATAAGGGGAGAAGTGTGTGTGTGGGGTGCAGTGTGTATGGGGGAGAAGTGTGTGTGTGGGGTGCAGTGTGTGTGGAGGATAAGTCTGTGTGTGGGGGGGGCAGTGGGGGAAGTGTGTGAGTGTAGTTGCAGGGGGCAGAGCAAAACAAATGTTTTTTTTTTAAATTAAAAATACATTATTTTATATTATTTATAGCCCCCCTCCCTTCTTACTTTTGCCTGGGAGGGGGGGATATTACTTCCAATCCCTGGTGGTCCGGTGGAATGCCTGGTGGAATCCCTGGTGGTTCTAGTGGGGAGTGAATTCTAGCCTGCACCTCCTAAGGCTAGAGTTCACTCTCGCGAGAACAGAGCGTTGCCGTCGTAACCGCGGCAAGGCTCCGTGCTCACGAAAGGAGACCCGGCGGAGCTCAGCCGGAGGAGACCCTCCCTGCCAGCCACCCAGCAATGTGCCTGCGGATCTTTGATCTCCCCAGCGGTCCGTGAAGGCACTTAGCAGGGCCGGCGCTTGGATAGCACCGGCCCTACAGGAGAGAGCATCGGATCTCGGGGGGGGGGGGGGCAATTGCCCCGTTGCTCCCCCGGATCCGCCACTCTATTGGAAAAGAGTATATAATTACATTATAAACAGAGGGAAAAATAATTTAGTGAATACAAATCTATAAAAAATTTACATAATTTTAACAGCTAACTAGTATGGATGAAGGGGAAAATAATATGAATGAATAAAAAACATAAAAAGCATATCCTTAAAACATATTGGTGTGAGTATAAGGCATGAAATGCTGTTAATAATAGATATCTTAAAATACACATATAAGAAAATACGATTAACATATTAAAACAAAATGAAAGTTCCATAATAAAATTGTGACAAGTAGTATTGATGGTATGCATAATCATAAAAAGTTATACAGATCAAAGTCTGCATTTAAACCATGAGGTGTAAGGGTCTGTAGCTTTTAGACCCATTCCATTTCAGTTTTTCCTAGGATATTTTTTATAATCTAGGGGGAGGAGCTATGTATGGATATCACAAAGGGCCAAACTACCTAGCGGTGGTACGGAAATTCATGCAGTCGGAAAAAATTAAAATAGAAGTAGATATGTGGAAGTGCCAATTATTTTATAATATGAAGTGCCAATCATTTTATAATATGAATGAATAAAATCTTCATTTTATTGTATTTTATATGCACTTTTTATTGTTACTCTTCCTGACATTTTTATTGTATCCTGATTCAAGAAATCCAAGGTGGGGATCATTCCACCAGTGCTGTGTTAATAGAGCAGTATCCTCTGCTCCAGTGGCGGATCCAGAACCTTATCTCGGGAGGGGCACTGGCAGATCATTTTAAAAAACAATCCAGGCACAATAACCACTACAGCTCTCTGTAGTGGTTTTGGTGCCAGGAGTTGCTGTGGCGCCCTCCCAGAGTAAGTAGTCAAACTGTTTAAAAAAAAGTTTGATAACTTACCCATGGTCTGCTGGGATAGGGGCTGTAGTGTGTATGTGTGTGGGGGGTGCAGTGTGTGTGAGGGTCACAGTGTGTGTATGGAGGGGTAGTGTATGTGTGAGAGGGATGCAGTGTATGTATGGCGTAGCAATTTGTATATTAGGAGCAGTGTGTTTATGTGTATTGGGAGCAGTGTGTTTGTGTGTGAGTGGCGCAGTGTGTATGGGGGCAGTGTGTGTATTGGGGCTATGTGTTTAAGGGGGGCAGTGTGTGTATTGAAGCTATGTGTTTAAGGGGGGCAGTGTGTGTATTGAGGGCTATGTGTGTTTATGGGGGCAGTGTGTTTATGGGGGCTGTGTGTATAAGGGGGCTGTGTGTGTAAGGGGCTCTGTGTGTAGGGGGCTGTGTGTGTAGGGGGGCTATGTGTGTAAGGGGAGGGCTGTGTGTGTGTGTGTAAAGGGGGGGCTGTGTGTAAAGGGAGGGCTGTGTGTGTAAGGGGCTGTATGTGTTAGGGGTGCTGTGTATGTAAGGGGCTGTGTGTGTAAGGGGTCTGTGTGTGTAAAGGGGGGCTGTGTGTGTAGGGGTGCTGTGTGTGTAAGGGGACAGTGTGTGTAAGGGGTGCTGTGTTTGTAAGGGGGCTGTGTGTGTGAGGGGTGCTGTGTGTGTAAGGGGGCTGTGTAAGGGGGCTGTGTGTGTAAGGGGGGCTGTGTGTGTAAGGGGGCTGTGTGTGTAAGGGTGGGGCTGGGTGTGTGTAGGGGGGGTTATATATTTGTGTGTGGTGCAGTGTGTAGGGGGTTATAGTTTGTGTGAGGGGATGGAGGCAGATTAAAGATATATATATTTTAAATTATTAAATAAATACTAAATAAATATAGCTAATGTCCCCCCTCCCTTCTTACCTGTGATGAGGGAGGGGGAGACATTGTTTTCTTCCAATCCCTGGTGGTTCTAGTGGTGAGAGTGAACTCTAACCTGCAGCACAGGCTAGAGTTCACTCTCGTGAGAACGGAGCGTTGCCATGGTAACGCCCCGTGCTCGTGAGAGGAGAACCCGGCGGAGCTGCAGGTAAGAGCTCCCCAGGTTCTCTCATTCTCTCCCTCCCCAGCCGGCCGCCCAGCAATGTGCACTGATCTCCCCTCCGGTCCGTGATGGCAAAGAGCAGGGCTGGTGCTTGGATAGGGGGGAGTCGCGAACTCACTATTTTCTCGGGGGGAGGGGCCATTGCCCCGTTGCCCCCCCTGGATCCGCCAATGCTCTGCTCTACGCTTATGAGTATATTTTATTTCAATTTATTTTATTTATCTTTTTCAAACTGAGAACACTATTGCTGTTTTTTATATATTGTGGAGTACGACGTAACCAAGGCTGGACTGACGGACACACCTCTTCAGTATATCCCTTTGCGGGGATCATACCGTTAAACGCCCTCCATCCTAGAGCTGGTCCTAAGCTCCTCCAAATGTGAGTGTACTATCTTCCTTTTATTCATTTTATCCTTGGATTTACAGTACTTCACTATTGGCAGTTTGTCATGTTTTTATTCTTGTCTTCACATATACGGATTATTTACAACCCGTGCGGATCAACTCCTGAGGACTGTACACATACTCTATCCAGCTATATCAGTGAGACGTTTAATTTATTTTTACTTTATTAAACATTTTACTACTTGGATGGACTTCCTTTTATCTTTTTTCTGTTGTTTTAAGTGGAACTTTTTTCAGTTATATAGACCTACTTGTTGTTGTCTATTCATTTAGACCATTTGGTCTGTTTTTTACTGCCATAGACTACTGTATTTTAGCTTGCAGCACAGCCCTTACCCACTTTTACCATTTCAAGTTAGTTTTATAAAGGGTCTTGAGGGATTCCCTTTTTTAGGGTTGCTGCTTATATTCCTGTTATCCAGCGCAGACTCTTCCCCCCTGTTTTTATAATTTAACTTAAGACCTGCTAAGGAACAGATGATTGTTATTTTGTCCTGATATGTAAAACCATAGAATTCAAAGAGGGTATACTTTTTTCTTCCCATGACTGTGTAGATTATATCCATTGCAACACCGT